AAAGCTTTTTAACTTTGTCACATGCCTTGCTAAAAATTTGGGGCCTCTGCTGTGTTTATGGCATTGTGCTAATTTTCCATCTTCTTAATCTTCTTGATGGAAAAGCAAATGAGATTAATGTAGCCAACTAATGCTGGCCCGTAGTACTCATCAGATTCCTTTCTAAAGCCTTAAAGGTACTTTGGAAGTTACCCAAAAAACTATCTGAGGACAGTTCTGCTCTTCTAGTTAAAAAACTCTCTTTTCCACCTTTCCCTTTGTCTGTCCACCCACTTTCCTAGGTATGCTCCTTGAGCCATGTTGCTCTGTTACCTTCCCTTACAGACCTTTTCCTATAACTGCAAGATCTAGAGTCTCCTTCTTTCTTGTCTGAGATAAACCAAGCAATACCAAAATATTTAGCAGTTAAATGTAGCTTCTTGCCTCAAAGTATAAAAGACATTGCAGCCTCTCCTGTGTTTCAAAGCCTTAGCAAGTCTTGATATAATGAAAAACATGCATGTTTGATAAATTTAAGAATGAGGAAAGTTTACGTTGGGTATCAGAGGCAGGAAAGGATTTCCATTCTGGTTATGTAGCAAGGTCATGGGATATGGTTATGTTACTGTGACTTAAGAATGGTGCTATTTCATATTATCCTTTTAGATGAAAAGAGTTGTTCAGCTGATGTAATCATAGTTATAGTCCATGTGTTTTAATTAAAGTTTTAATGACCCTTTCATAGACACAGCAATAGTACTGAGGTTGAATAAATTCATTTCTCTGAGAAGTGACTTCTAAGTAACTTATGTTTTTGGATTTTACCACCAGAGTTTCTCCAAGACATCTTCCCGAATTGCAGCCTGTCAGAAACTGGACATGACTGGAAGTTGTGTGTGACAGCTATCAATGGCTCTATCCGTAGTCTAAGATATGACCTCAAGAAGTCCTTAAACAAAGCATAGAAGCTTCCGGCAACAGCCCCTCATTCAAGTACTTCCAGCCACCCTACGTTTCTTTTTTCTTTCTTTCTTTTTTTTTTTTTTTTACTGTTGTCTCATCCTGTATGTTTTTCAAGTTGTCATTCCACAATTAGTTTGTAGCAGCAGTGGGCAGTGTACTGTGTTCGCGACTCAAGAAATAGCCAATGTTCTTTTTCTGCCCACAGAGCACACAATTGCATTAGGAAGATGTGTAACTTTTCATCCAATGAACAAAGTGATGGGCAGTACTCCCATAAGAACCTCTGATTAAAGGAATGGTAGTTAACTCCTAAAGGTTGTTTGCATTGCTATTTTAATGTAGAGCACATTTAATTTTAATAGCACATTTAGCTCCTAATGACAGATGGAATCTGAGCACCAGTGACACAGATATAGGTAGACATAGTTGGTTGGATAGGAAAACCATAATGCCAAGTGTAGGAATTTGGAGATAGGAGACATTCAATATTTGTCAAGTGAATTGTCACTGCAGATCTAAGATCTAAGCCCCACTGATTCAGAAGGGAGGTATGGTTTACACGTAACCCAAATGCCCATGTTGGCTTTCTTATATATCCATCAGTAAGGGATTCATAGGATTGACATCCTATTGTTTGATGCAAGCTTTCCAGGGTGAGACCTGTGTTTTTTTTTTATTTACTCCTGATAAAAACAGCATCCTTTTAATGACTTCCTGATAATATTTTATCACAGCAGTTTTCTAAGAGTCAACATAGAAAATCACGTCAGGAGGCTTTTTGTTCCATTGAAATAATTCAAATTTAAGAATGTATCTCTCTGAATAAAAATAATCTGCCCAGATTCAGATGCTAATGTTTTTTCTTATTTCTGAAATGTCTGGGTAAAGGTTTAATATGTTTACTGTTTTTTTTTCTGATTGATTCTACTAGTCGAAATGCATACAAATTTAAATCTTATAATGTTTAAATGAAAAAAAATTGATCAGAAATACAATTAGAAAAAAGTGATCTTGAAAGATATTGGCAAGAATATTGGCAAATGAAAAAATAATTCCATTTTGCTCACGAGTAGGGTTTTATATTTAACGTAAGAACTTTAAAGTTCTTGAATGTTTTAGCCATAGAAAATACTATATAATTTCATTGATCATTCTTGTTAAGGAAACATTTTTTTCAAAAAAAGAGAAACATTTTGTTGGTTATAATGCCATCTTTCAGCTTTCAACCTGTGGAACATCCCCTTTATTACATTCTTAGTTATTGTTCAAAACACACATTTTTTCCTTGTGAGAGTTCAGTCTTTAGTTGTGGCCATTTGCTTATGACCCATAGATTTTCTTAGATAGTTGACATTAATTAGCTTTGGTATTTTGATAAGGCAAAGAAGAAATTCAATAGAAAGTAATAAGTAGGTCAGTCAATATAATTTTTGTGTGAAAGTTGACAAGTCTTGTTATTTTTGTGACTTGTAGTTTAGAATGGTTTTATATGGTCAGTTTGTAGATCAGATATATTTTTCAAATGATATATCTTGAAACTTAAATTCAACTTTTAGAGTATTTTAAGTGAAATATGGTATAATTCGTTTTAGAAAGAATTTTATGACTCTGTTCTCCAAATAAATAATTTGCTGTTAGTTGCCTTTAGGTTAATAAAATCATAATATATCTATGCATACCTTTATATGTTTAGGCTATGCCTATGTCACCTTAAAAAGTAAATAATTCAAGCCAAAAAATCTTCCCTAGAGAACAAAAGGATTATGACCAGAGTTATTCAGACTAATTCATCTAAGAATTTATAAACTGCTGGTAATATAGATAATATGGAAAAGTAAAATTATATTCTAGGCCAGATTAAATTTCAAACGATATATGCAGATTTCAAATTTGATTGATTTGTATTTTGTGCTGACATATTCCCTGGATTAGAAGCAAAATTACAGAAATGAAAACTTCATATTTACAAAAATTTTTCAAGATTTACACGGTTAACTTTATTATGATGGCTGCTTATATATTAGACTGGTCCTGTCCAGTACCATTTGTTGGTAATGTTCTAAAATTCTATGTTGTCCAGCATGGTAGTCACTAGCCACATGTGACTCTTAAACACTTGTGATGTGGCTAGTTACAGGAACTAAATTTTAAATTTTACATCATTTTAGCTAATTAAAAATTAAATTTAAGTAGCCACATGTGGATAGTGGCTGCTTGTATTGGCTAGCACAGTTTATAATAACCATTATTTTAAGAAAGTGCTTAAAATCATTCCCATGGTCTGAATCATAATAATATGTACACAACTTTAGTATATTTTTACACACAGCTTTACAGTCACACTGAGCAAAATAAATTTCACAAAGGAACTTCATATTTTAAACTAAGTTAGGTCTCTTCTAAAAAAATAAATAAATTAGGTCTCTTCTACCTTCAGCATTTCACAGGGTCATTCCATTATTGTATTAATCCAATGTTAAAGATTTTAAATCTGTGTTCATAAGACTTGTTTTTGATAAGTTTCTTTTATATGTTGCCTTGTTTTACAAATAAATACAATGAATAAACATTTAAAATACTCTTTTTTTAAAGATCTTATTTATTTATTCATGAGAGACACACAGAGAGAGGCAGAGACATAGGCAGAGGGAGAAGCCGGCTCCTTGCAAGGGTCCTGATGTGGGACTTGATCCCAGATCCCGGAATCAGGACCTGAACCAAAGGCAGGCAGATGGCTCAACCACTGAGCCACCCAGGCGTCCCTTAAAATATCCTTAATACACATGCTTAAGTTGTTTTTTCCAATAGAGTAATTTTACAGGACTTTTAGTAATGCAATCCACAGTGTTTTGTAAAAAAAAATTAACATATTTTTTCATTCAGTTCCATAAATGTGGCACACTTAGAATGTTTGCTTTCTTGCTTAATAAGCAAAATAGAATAATTGTACCCAGCGACAGTAATTTACTATTGTGGGTATAGTTAGAAGGATATTGAAAACTTTGGAAACTTGTTTTACCCTTCCTGGGTAAAATATTGGTGTTATTAAAGCATAATGTCATTTTAGACTTTAATATTTATTTAAATATATGGTAACATTTTTATTTTGGCCAGCAAGGCTTAGTCAGCCCTGTTTTTCAGTTTTCTTTAGAGACCATTTCCGCATCTAGTAGAGGACTATCTCTGCAGCATTCTGCAACAGTGGTGATCTAACCACATTCACGCTGACTGCTAACTTTACCCTAACTTACTTTTAAAAAATTTCCCCGGCCACCTCCTCCCAGCCTAATTTATTTTAACTCGCAATACGTTAAGCTTGCGGTGACTTTTTTCACCGTGTTAAAAATCCTGCTCCTCCTCTTTGAGCTGCAATATTTGATGATCTCACTTAGTAAGATTGATCTGTAAGATTGACAAGTGACAGGTGCAAATGTCTACACCAACCTAGTCGGGCAAGAAATACTCCTTTATTTTTCGATAACTAATTTGTTTTGATTACAGGGCCTCCAGGTGTTCCCACTAGACCTCTGGGTTAGGTGGGCCTGGGACCCCCGGTGGAGGGGGGGGCTGTGTTTCAGCTGCCGGGCCTTGGTGTGACGCGCGGAGCCCCTCCTCCTGGAAGCTCCCAAGTTTTCTTTTCTTTTCTTTTTAGATTTATTTATTCATGAGACACAGAGAGAGAGAGGCAGAGACACAGGCAGAGGGAGAAGCAGGCTCCATGCACCGGGAGCCCGATGTGGGATTCGATCCCGGGTCTCCAGGATCGCGCCCCGGGCCAAAGGCAGGCGCCAAACCACTGCGCCACCCAGGGATCCCCTGTAGTGATTTTTTTTATTGGAGTTCGCTTTGCCAACATCTAGTATCACACGGATGGCTCATCCCGTCCAGTGCCCGTCGCCCACCGCCCTTCCCCTTGTTCGTCTCCCAGCTTAGGAGTCTCGGGGTCTCACACAGGCTTTGGGGGGCGGGGGGCAGCGGCCGGGCTGGGAGAGGCGCCGGGACCCGGAGCTCCGCGGCCGGGGAGCAGCGCACGCGCACGCGCAGGCTGCGAGCGGCTCCCCCGGCTCCTCCCGCGGCGGTCGGTCCGGGGACGTTCTCCCCGCCGCGGGGGCGACTGTGAGCCCCCGGCGGAGGCCCGGGCGGGCCGGGTCACGACTCCGTGCTTGAGGACCCGGTGCTGGCGGACGTCACCCTGCCAGGTTCGGGGGTTCTGCAGGTGAGCGAAACTCGGGGTTGGGACGGCCGCTGGGCGCTGCGGTTCCGAGCCCGGCGTGGCAGCCCCCGCGCCACTTGCTGCGGCCCCGGCCCTTGTCAGGCGGACGCCGGCTCCCCTGCAGCCCCCGCGGGGCCGACCCCGGAGTAGGGGCCCCCGCGGAGCTGCGCACATGCTGGGGCGCTGCTCGTCGCCCGGGTTCCCCGGGCGGGGGGGGGGCTCTCCCTGGGGCGCTGTGCTGGCCCTGGTGGGGTCACGCGCTCACCTCTGAGGCGCCCCGTCTTGGCGTGTGCGGCCCGGGGGTGCTTCCGGGATCGTTGGTCCCGGGGGGGGGGGGGGAGCGAAATCGGGGACCTGTGCGTCACCACCTTGGGGAGGCCAGTCTTAATTTGTGCTTCGAGCCTTCAGGCGCCGGGAGTCATTCAAGGCTGTTGAGTTTCCCAAGAATGCAGGTGAAGAGCCCGGGACGCGAAGGGCGATGGGGCCGAGGGTCTAGCGATGGGCGGGCAGGTGCATCCTTTAATCCGCAGTGGAGTCTCGGTTCTAGTGGTCCTCAGCGCCGAGGCTGAGCAGAGGGGGCAGGACCAGGTTCTTGTCGTTTTTCTTAACCATCATCGGCTGAGGTATCAATTTGTCTCATCATTGGCCTAGGGCCTTTCTTCCCCCTGTCCTGTCCCTATCCACAAGGGGTTCCGACCCTCCTTTGGGATGCAGAAGCTCCCATCTGTGCTCTAGGTTCCCCTCAAGCTCGTGCGATTAATTGTGCTGCCGCTTCCTTGTTTTTTGTCACGGGAAGGATTCTATCCAGTTCTCCGGTAGACTTCCATGTAGGACTGGCTCCATAATTTGCAGGGCCCAATGAAAATGAATAAAATTTGATACTATTTAAGCAGCACAGTTTTATTTATTTATTTTATTTATTTTTTAAAGATTTTTATTGAAGTTCAGTTTTGCCAACATTTAGCATAACACCCAGTGCTCATCCCGCCAAGTGCCCCCCTCAGTGCCCGTCACCCAGTCACCCCAACCCCCCGCCCACCTCCCCTTCCACTACGCCTTGTTCGTTTCCCAGAGTTAGGGGTCCTCATGTTCTGTCACCCTCACTGATATTTCCCACTCATTTTCTCTCCTTTCCCTTTATTCCCTTTCACTAATTTCTATATTCCCCAAATGAATGAGACCATATAATGTTTGTCCTTTTCCGACTGACTTATTTCACTCAGCAGAATACCCTCCACGTGGAAGCAAATGGTGGGTATTCATGGTTTCTAATGGCTGAGGAATATTCCATTGTATGCATAGACCACATCATCTTTATTCATTCATCTTTTGATGGACACCGAGGCTCCTTCCACAGTTTGGTTATTGTGGACATTGAGCAGCAGTTTTATATTTAACATTTTGGGAGGGAGAATTTTGGACTTATAAAAGAGTTGTAAAAATAGTACAGAGAGTTCCTGTGCACCCTTTACCCAGCTTCTAATGTTAACAGCTCTCATAATCATGGTACGATTATCAAAATTCAGAAATTAACGTGGTACAATACTATTAACTCCAGGCTTTATTTGTAGTTTGTCAGGTTTTCCACTAAAGAAAGCTCTTTCTCACTTCCAGGATTCAATCTAAGATCCTATATTGCATTTAATTCTCACGTCTCCTAATCTCCTCCAGTCTATGGCAGTTCTTACTCTTTCCTTGTTCTTCTTGACCTTGGCACTTTTGAAGAGTACTAGTCAGACATTTTGTAGCATGTACCTCCATTTGGGTTTGTTTAGTGTTCCCTTGATGAGTCAGTGGTTATGCACTCTTGGGAATGATGTGCTTTTCTCAAAGCATCGCAGCCTCTTGAATTTTTCAATAGAACAGTTACTAGAAGGTTCAGCAGTTTGCCCCAAGTCCTAGACCTGTTAGCACCAAAGCCAGGACTAGACCTCAAGGCTCACTTTTATACTAGGGTTGTTAACACAAACCTTTAAATCTTTTTGTATGTTTTTCCAAACTACTGACTTATTCAGCATTTGACTTTTAGGATTGTGAGCATCGAGTTGTTGTTTGGTCCCTGCACAGCGAAGTAGGGGAAAGGGGAGGCTGAACAATGGACAGATAACCTAAGAGAAAAATAGTACTCCAGACACTGTGAAGTTAAGCTCTTGCCCAATGCCCCTGCTGCTTCGTGGACGGTGGTGATTATGGTCACAATTTAGTGACCTCTGGCTGTGTGCCAGGTCTCAACTCAGCATCATCACCTCCCACTTCTAGAATTTCTGCTTTACAAAAGAGAAGCTGAGAGCCACATTTCCCATCATCCCTGTCTCAATATGGTTACCAGTTTAGAGTTGTTGATGAGAGGAACTTGCATGAAATTTGAAGGCAGAAGAAAAGGAGAGCTGTTTTGTGCCACAAGGACACATGGGCGGATGTGAGATTTACAGAAGTTGAGAATTGATGAGGATCACATGCTTCACTGCTGCATGTGAAGGGATTTTCAGAGACTCTTCAGCGGCTATCCAGTAATCTTTCAAGAATTTTCTGTGATGCTTCAAGCTGAGGTCTACAGTGTTTGCTTTCTTGATCTTTGGTAACACCTTCTTTGACCTTGTCTTTCCTACCTCGCTTAATAGTCCTGTAAACTACTAATTCCTATTCTAATACCCTTTATTCCTCCTTTCTTATCCAACCCCTGATATAGTACAACATGTATTCATGCATTTAATCGTCTCACTGCCCAGGAGGAAGGTGCCAGTAGAAATGGGGAAACTCACAAGTCATTGTGCCACTCCCATATCCACCCACGAGCAGTTTAATGACTAGTTCAAGTAGTTCTTAGCAATAAAACTGAAAATCTTTGTTATCACAATGGGTTGTTAGAATGGATGTTCCTACATGAAAAGAGTGATAATTGAGACTTAATTTCTTAACACAGGAAAAGGTGCTCAACATCACTAATCATCAGAGAAATGCAAATCCAAACCACAATGAGATATCACCTCACACCTGTCAGAATGGCTGTCACCAAAAAGACAAGAAATAAGTGCTGATGAGGGTGTGAAGAAAAAGGAACACTCATGCATTTTGATGGGAATGTAAATTGGTGCAACCACTGTGGAAAACAGTATGGATGTGACTCAAAAAATTAAGAACAGAACTACCATATGATCCAGTAATTCCATTACTGGGTATCTACCCAAAGAAAATTAAAACACTAATTTGAAAAGATACATGCATGCCTATGTTTATCGCAGCATTGTTTACAATATTCAAGACATGGAAGCAACTCAAGCGTCCATCAGTTGATGATAATGAAGATGTGTTACATATACAGTGGGATGTTACTTAGCTATAAAAATGGATGTGATTTTGCTATTTCTGACAACATGGATGAACCTAGAGAGTATTATGCTAAGTGAAATAAGACAATGACAAATACCATATGATCCCACTTATATGTGGAATCTAAAAAAGTGTAACAACTAAACAGACTAACAACAGACTTAAATACAGAGAACTGGTAACCACCAGCTAGAAGAGAAGTGTGTGTGTATAGGTAAAACAGGTGAAGGAGGTTAAGAGATATAAACTTCCAGTTATAAAATAAATGTCATAGAAATGAAAAGTATAGCCTATGGAATATAGTCAGTGGTATTATAATAACATTGTATGGTGACAGATGGTAACTGCATTTATTGTGGGCATTGACAATGTATAGAATTGTTGAATCAATATGTTGTACACCTGAAACTAATATAACATTGTATGTCAGTTATATTTCAGTAATAAAACTCAAATGAGAGTTTTTTTCTTTTTCTTTTTCAAATGTAAAAGACTGTTTACATATGAAAGCATTTCCAGGTACTCTGAAAGCTTTCAGAAACCATAACCTGAGGACTAGAGATAAATTAATTCCCTTTCCTCCAGTTGGAGTATTAGAGCACATAGAGTCTGTCTTCACATTACTCAATTGCTCAAGTATTTGTCTCCCCCTCTAGCCTGACCTTCCTGTCTTCAGTGCCCAACTCAATGGTCTGGGAGTGGTAGGTGCCCAGTAAACAAGCATTCCTCATTCACTCTGCCTTAACATGCCTGAAATTTCACCATTAGTTTGATTTCTTTGGCTTGAGCCTAATTTGACCTTTTCTCCTGTAACAATCTAAGTTCTGTATATTCATGCTCTATGCCTTCATGGAGTTGAACTTGTTAAATCCACTCCTCAAAGTTGGTTCAGTTTGGAACATGAGAGCATGAGAACTTCTTAGTTTTTAGAGAGACTTCTACACACAGATAAACGTACAAGAGGGTTGCAGCATTCTCTGTAATAGGATAAAACATTGGAAACAATTTGTTAAAGAATATCTTTTAAAACTAAAATTATGGCTCTCATGTAGATATAAAATGAACATACGTTAGAGATTTTATTTAACTCATTACTAATTAGGGAACCAGTGATGTTAGGACCATTTCAAAGGATAACCAAACAACACATTTTTATTAGATTAGTGCAAACCAAGGCAAAACTGGCTTCTCCCACAGTTGGAGAAGGCAATTAATTGAATCTCCACTGTAGAATTTATTTGTGTGTCTATAGCTAAGATTTATTTTCCATTGCTATCAGTTATATATAGCTTACAGAATGGAAAATCAGAACCAGGTAACCAAGAATGATGTACTCCAAACAATGTCTGGTTTTCCACAGAAGCACAGATTTTTACCCATGAGTACAAATATTCATTAACAGAGAACTGGTAACATTAAGAAATTACAACTATATTGGGAAAAGAAGCATCCATTGCAAAGAATGTAGCGGATACTAAAATGAAAGGCAAACGAGAGACCGAAAATAATCACCATACATTTGTCTGATAGGGGACTTGTATCCATTATACATTCAAAAATGTTTATAAACCAATCACAAAAAGATGTACAACCCAATTAAAAAATTGGGGGAAATTCTCAAATGGGTATTTCATAAAAGAAAATATTGGAATGGCCAATAAGCACATGAAAAA